TGAAAGTCCCCAACACTTTTGAATGGCCTTTTCCTGACAATCCTCTGCAGGCTGTGATCATCCCTGCTGCTTGTGCACCTTTTTCTTCCACCTTTTCCCCTTCCACATAACTTTCTATTAATGTGCTTTGATACAGCACTTTGGGAACATCCAACTTCTTTTGAAATTAACTTCTAAGGCTTTCCCTCCTTATGGAGGGTGTCAATGATGGTTTTCTGCACAACTGTCAGGGCAGCAGTCTTTCCCATGATTGTGATTCCTACTGAACCAGACTGAGAGACCATTTAAAGGCTCAGGAACCCTTTGCAGGTGTTATGGCTTAATTAGCTGATTAGAGTGGGACACTTTGAGCCTAGAATATTGAACCTTTTCTCAATATTCTAATTTTCTGAGATTGTGGATTTGGGGTTTTCATGAGCTGTAAGCCATAATCATCTCAATTATGACACATCACGGCTTGAACTATCTTGCTTTGCATGTAATGATTCTATCTCATATATTAGGTTCATCTTTTAAGTTGCATTATTGAAATAAATGAATTTTTGCACTATATTCTAATTTTTTGAGTTTCACCTGTAAACTTCCTTGATATACCATACACAGTAACATTATTTTACCTCTATTTTACCATATGCCTGAAGGATATTATAAGAAGCTTTGTTCAATGCTTTCCTGAAGATTTTCACATCATTCCCATAATTTTTATTTAAACATTTTGTATATGTGCTCATTGCAAAACACAAGTCTGGGCAACTCACAGTAAAAACCTACAACTATAAAAACCATAAAACATAACTAAAACCTGGTACCTCAGTCATCCCCTTGGGCTGCCCCAACCCAAAATACCCTCACTCTGCCCCAGTGTCAGAGTAAAAGAGCCATGTCTTCCTGGCCTTTCACAAGCACAATTTACCGATTAGGTTTAATTCAGAGATTCTCAAATTCTGTGATACCTTGACTCCCTAAAATGACTGTATGGCTCCCTTCCTAACAAAACTTATACCACCAGCAATTAGTTTCATATCAAAAGGATTACTTAACTCAGGAGTGAGCAACCTTGGTGATCCGTGGACTTCAACACCCAGAATTCCTGAGCCAAGTCCACAGATCATAAAAGGGCCATAGCAGCTCACTCTTGCCTTCACCTATTCCTCACCCTGATAGTCAAATCCTGTCAAAACCAATCTCACTAATGTCTTAATCCAAGCAAAACAAACCAAATTCTGAGAGGGTCCTGTTTGTACTAACAAACTTAGTACTACTGTGGGCCACATTCTTTTAGGGACTCTGGGCTGATGGTTTTTATGGCAGGCCAACCTCTGATGTAGGGAGTGGTACATAAGAGGGTCACAATTCTTATTTTTATTGCTCCCATTTAAGAATCTACACAAAATTAGAGGCAATAGGTAAAATCAAGGCATGCTGAAGACCAAATAAAGTCTAGATTAGATCTGATTAAAGCAGCAAACTTCCAGTATACAAAAAAAAGGGAAGGGTAAGAGGAGCTATTGACTATACGATGGTTCTTAGTAGTCAACACATCCTTTTCTAGATGGTCACAGAGCAGGCACTTAAATCTATCCTACATTTTTCTATGTATTATTTTTAATATGATTTATATATGGACTTCTGAGTTTTCTTTTTTTCCTCTTTCAATAACAAGACCAACAAACTGGTCATCCATTGGAATCACCTATTCTTCAAAAATTCTCAAGAGTTATACCAACAGCTCTAAAGTAACATCTATAAAATTTTGGGATGTTTTATCTTTAGATAATTTTACTTGAAGGTGCTTTTCTCCCCACAAACCATGTTGGGCAGCTTCACTCTCTTTCCAAGACAACCTAAAATTCCTGAAATGTTGAGATGTTTCTTTATGATCATGACCAAGAGAAGATAAGCACATATAATCCACAACTCTCTCAAATACTAACAAAGGATGCTATGATCAATGATATTAAAAATCATTGAATAGACAGAGTACTACCACAACCATATGTCTCTCTTGGTAAACGATAACTTATTAGGGCACTCAAGAGCTACTCCATATCACATATGGGTCATAATATTTTTAAGATGAAAGGTTTATACGATCTGAAGATACAGTATGGGTCATAATACTCAAGTCTCCTCTATGAAGTCCTTTGGAATTACAGTATCACTATCCCCCTTCTCTAAATACAAAATAAAAGATACAAGTCTATGAGTATTAAAATTAGTTTGGTTCAAAGATGGCTTTTCAATCAAACTGATAGAGAATTGTTGCTTCTTGTGTCTAACCACCATAACAAAAACGACAACTTTCATTAATTTTCTTTCTACATCAATGGCTTCAAGTTATGAAATTCCTTTCATTAGAAATCTGCTAAGCCTATATTAAGCTTTTTACACTCCTTCACAAAGGATTCTTGGGCTGTACATCAACATCTAGGTGAAGAGAAGGGAAGCTCCCTACCCTTATTCCACCAGTGAAAATGATTACTGCTGATGGAACCAAAGCATGGGATTTCACCATTCATGCTTTATATTTACTTTCAAAGAGTAGTGAGAAGAATACTTTTGTGCAAGCGATAATTGAAGGAAAAATACTGACCCCCAAGGTATTGCATAATTAGGAAACTGAGGAAAAGATATGAATAATTATCATATGCTTATTGCTTTAAATTAGGGATATGCAAAATTCAGCAATTCAGGAAGCAAACATTCCAGAGTACTCCTGATAATTTTGAACCCTATCCAGGCAATGCTAAATCTCTGCTTTGTAAAATATGCCAGTTTCAGGACCATATTGGGAAGTAAATTACTTGAACTAGAAGTTGTGAGATATGGTGGCCATGATGTTCTACCTGGATTGCAAAAAAAGATTGCACATTTCTATGCTAAATTATACATTAACTAGAGTTTACCAAAATCTGTGAAGAAAAAAAAACATACTTGGCTCAAAATAAAAGTATTTTCTAGAAATATTTTGCTTTTTAGCGGTTTAAGAAAACTTTTTTTAAAAGCTGCATATTAAGCTACAGTAATACTGCATATATGTGTACAATATAGGACAACAGGTAGAAACAAAAATTGCAAACTAGTGCACTGCTGTGGTCAAAGAGACTTTAGTCAGGTTGTCACTGGTAGTTATGTAAAACAATAAGAAAACACTGGCATTAACTCTGAAAGTAAAATATATCTATAAAATAAAACTGGCTACTCTATCTGATATTAGTTATTGAGAGCCAGGCAGTATACAAGCTTGATATGTTATTATATTGACAAGAATCTTTACTTTTTAATAATCTTACATACAATAATGTCTATAGTCACATAATTAGTGTTATATAAAGAATAGTTTACACAAATTAGATGCAACTCTGAAGTATTAAATAGTACTAAAGTTCATTCAAAATCATAAGTGCATATAATTAAAAATGCATTACATGTTGTGAACATGGGTAAACAGTTTTGTTATTTGCTTTCCTAGAGAAGCATAATTATCAATGTGTCCTTGGACAAATTTAATTCAAACATGCTAGTTAAACATTGAATTGTATAAAATATTTCCCTTGTCACTGAGGAATCAAAACAAAGAGATCAATAAACTCTGAGCTGGTAAAACATATGGATAAACAAAGCTTTATACTTTTCTATGCAATCTATTCTGACCTGTGAAATGAAGAGTTTGCTTTATACAAATTGGAAAAATTAGGTTAATGTATTTGAAGGAAGGACAATATGGTACTCTTCAAATGTACATAATTCCCTTACTCCCCAATCAGCAAATTCCTACTTGTGATTTACAAGAATTGTAATCTAATCTGAATGAAGGATGTTAGACTGGAAAAGACTGATTTAGGTATCCAGAAAACCCAATATATCTATTGTATCTAGATATTAAAACTAGAACTATTAAAAATCCTTGACATGTAGTATAAATGTATTAAATCAGTTTTACATAACCCCAATAAACTGTATTTTGGCAAATCATATATTGTTTCCCTTGAACTAAAATATTTTACTTTCAACTTATCTAGTTATATTAATTTAGAAACAAACAAAAATAAATTACCTAACAGAATAAATTAAGTACATGTAATCTCACCTAGTAACATTTTGCTTGAATACAATATTTACTCAGAAGTTTAAGTTCAATGGAACTTAATTTAAGACACACCTAATGTGTCAAATGATGCTTTATATAATTTTCACTCTAATAATACCTATTGGAAATAAAATATAATCAATATTATAATTTAAATTATGTAAGTATATAATATGGGTATATTAAGAGTGGAAAATGAGTGCTAACGATTATCAATTTAGTAAACCCACAGAATAGAAAAGGCCAAACAAGCAACAGTTTCAGTGACCTTAACCAGTTTTACAGCAGAAAGCTATTAAATTAAAAATAGCAGCTGACACCTAAAACGAAGATGCCCATTTTAATTTGAAGCAGGGAAGCAGGCTTACCCACTACATTTAAACCACACACTTCCCCCTCCCTTAACGTTCAGGATACAACGCATCTGCCTTGCTCCTGTACAACTCACCTGGACTGTCTGCTGAGAGCAGAGCCCCTTCGTCCAGTTCCAAGCAGATGGCCGAGAAACCCTCCTACGCCAATATTTACTTACAAACTCCACCTTTCCACAAGTACAACAGGATGAGCTCCCCCACCCCGCTTTCCTCTGTTTCCTTTGCAGCTCTGGCATTGTTGCATTTCAGACATCCGCCGCCCTGTTGTTTTTTTTTCCCCCCGAAAAAGTCCCTTCCGAGTCTTTCTCCGCCGTCTGTTCGTCTGCATACAGTCGGCACCCCCCCTTCCCCCGGGGTTTGCCCTCGCAGCGCTCTCTCACTTCAGGCGCCCCGACCAGCCCCTCGCCCCAAGCCCGATGCAGGACCAGCGGAGTGACGCCCCTCTCCCCCCACAAAGGATCGACCCCCTCCCGAACCCACCCGGGACCCCACACCCACGCACCCCCGACTCCCTTGCCGACACCCTCCCTCTCTACCTGGGGTGCTGCTGTAGGTGCTGTGGCTCCTGAAGCTGCTCTCAGTGCAATAGCTGGCATCATCCTCGTCCTCCATCTCTTCGGGGTAATCGGAATCGTCGTCGTCGTCCATGACCGCCTCCTCTTCCTCGGAGTTGGGCTTCTCCTCCGCCTCGCCGTCTTCCTCCTCCTCCTCCTCGTCGGACCCCACGCTCTCCTCTTCCTCCTCCTCGTCACTCTCATGATCGTCGTACACTACTTTGCCGCCGCCGCCGCCGCTCCTCCTGGACGAGGCGGCCGCCCTGCTTTGGCTGCTGCTGCTGCTCCGGCTGCCTCCGCCTCCTCCTCCCCCCGCCGCCGCCGCCGCCGCCGCTCCAGCCCTACCCCGGCCCCTACCGCTACTGCCTCCCCCACCAGGGGTGCTGGTGCTGCCGCCGCCTCCCTTCCTCCTGCCGCCCCCCCTGGAGGAGGAGGAGGAAGATGTGGCGGCGGCGGAGGCCTGGCCAGCTCCGGACCCCCTCGACCTGGGCCCCGCAGCCCCAGCCGCCTGGGCCGAAGCCGCCCACCTGCCCCGGCTGCTGCCCCGCAATCGGGACCTCAGACCCCCAATGGGGCCCGGCGGGGCGGGGGGAGCCGGGGTGCTCACCCGAGCGGGGGCCGCCGGAGGCTGCTGATGTTTGGGCGGCCTGCCTCGCCGGCCCCGCATCGCTGAGCGCTAGCCAAGGGTGGGGGGGGAGAGAAGAAGCGAGGGGAACGAGGGCACTCGGGTCCGGCGGGAGGCTGCCGGGAGCCTCTTCCCCGCGGTCGGAGCTCTGGGGGGAGGGAGGGGCCTCCACCGACTTGCGAGGGCCGAAGGCTCAATTCGAATCGCCGGCGTCCCGCTCCGGATCGCCACCGGCCGCCATCTTGTTTCTTCGTCTCTGCCTCGGATCGCTCCGCTCTGACTGGGGGAAGCGGCGGCGGCGGCAGGCCCAGAGCGCCTCACGTGACCGGCTTTCTAGGCCGGACTTGGCCGCCTGGGGGCGCCTGACACCTACCTATGGCGGCGGCGGCGGCTTCCCCTCGCCCGACTTCCCAGCCATCTTTGATGCGGAGCGAGGGCCGGTTGTAGCATCGCTTCTATCCTCTCGGGGAGCATCCCATCTCACAAATCACCCCACACACCTGTTAGCCCTCCGTAAGGGAGAGGCCCTGTCTTTTCGACCCTATGTCGCTCACGCCCTCAGCAGGTGCCGTCGCCTCTCATAACGCCGAATTAGGTTTTTCAAGCCTCTTCGGTTGCTCCGTATTTACTTCCTGAAATTAAGATTGAGAGCCGTTGGCGTTTACAAGTGGAATAGCTTGCCTTCAGAAGTTGTGGGTGCTACATCCCTGATGGTTTTTAAGAAAAGACTGGATAGCCATTTGTCTCAAATAGTATAGAATCTCCTGCTTGAGCAGGAGTTTGGACTAGAAGACCTCCAAAGTCCCCTCGTTTTGTTCTGATTGATTGGTTGGTTTCTTCACGCAAGGTTGCATGTGTGCATGATACTAAGGAAAGTTTGTAGGAGGTATGCGAAAGTGTCAGGCTGGTTTGAAAAGAGGTGGCATGGAAATGCAATGACAAAATTATGCTATGCCTTCCTGGCCCATTACTTTTGTCATGGGGGGAGGAGGAAGAGGAAAAGAAGGGGAAGGGAAGGGAAGAATACAAGAAAGGGATGAGATGATGTAGTAAAGTCCAAACCTCAAACAAAGTGATAATGCACTTTGAAGTGTTTTACATATTCCAAATTTAGATCAACCTTCATCCTGGTAGCTACTTCCTGTATCTATCAAACTATCTGTTAGAGCCATACTTGTTTTTCTGTACCTGCACACTGGATAGAACCACTTTTTGAGAATTTTTAAAATTAAGGATTTTACAAAGAAAATAAAAACTGGCACAAAGCAATAAAAAGCAAAGGAAGGAAAAAAAGTGCAGAAAAATAAAACCAAAAGGAATAGAAAGCTTTCAATTTCTCCTTCAGTAAATATAAGCACAATTACAATATTGACTTATTCTATGATTATAAAAAGCTCCTTTTTCTATTACCCATTTTTTCTAATCATCCAAACCACAACATAAATTCATTCATTCTTTCTGTTTCATGCAAAAAGTCTTTAAGGTATTCCAGTCAGTCATAAAGTTTTTTTTCTTCTGCCAGTTCCACCATATCATCAGCCATTAGTTATGGGTAATGTCAAACCTTTACACTTTTGTATATAATAGTCTAATTGTGGTTAACATATATTAAAAGAATGTTCTGTAACCTCTATCCATTAATACCAAAAGAAAAGCCTCTTGATTTCAACTGTACTTTAACCTTTAAAATCTCCTGGATGTATGTGTGTATGTATATATCCAACATGTTTTAGCTTTTTTTGCATGCCTAACTATCATGGTAAAATGCTCCATGTTCATCCTTTCAGCAAAAATTAAAAATACTTTTATATATTCTAGGCAATTTCTCTAGTGACAAATACCAATGATACATCATTTTATAAAATTATTTTTAAAGCTCAAACAAAAGTGTTCTAAAAAGAAATATATTGTTTGCCTACAAGCAAATCAATTAGGAAAAAAGATATGAAACATTTGATTTATAAAACTTTGGATTGGATGTACTCAGGAGATATTAGGAAGAGAAATGGAGCTCTTTTGTATATTAATCTTCAACAAACCAGAACGTGTTTTAATTGATGAAAGTGGTAGATTTGTTGGAGCAAAAGTTATACTATGTGAAGTTAAACCTCTGGCTAGGAAGTTTATGCTCCAAATAAAGATGAAGTAACTTTTTATAAACAACTTATGAAGACTAATAGATTTTTTTCCAAAGTACTCCTAGGTCCATTCTCCAGCCTGGATTTTTTTCCCTACAACTGGTGTCTGATGCAGAATTGGAATGGTTTCCACTCCAATGGTCTCGACTTCTGTGGAAAATATTAAAATTATTTTAATTAAAATTAAAGTTTGGTAATTTACTAAAGGGTCTTTTTTATGGATAGAATTATTTGATGTGTGGAGTCAGAATGGTAATTCAAGAGAATATACCTGTTTTTCAGAAAAAAAGAGATCCATTTCAAGAAAGGTGTGATTGGAATTTCAAAAAAATTGACTACTAAAATTTCAAAAGTTTGGATGGTCAACATTAAAGTTTTGAACAATTAAAACTGAAAAATATTACACTTGATTTTGTAGAACATTGTCACATATTTAGTTTAAGAAAGGCCAAATTATGTTTATATCTGTAGTCTTCAGATAAGATGATTAATATGACTTAATAGGGACAAGATAAATGTTCATCAGAGAGAAACACATAGTAATATCTGAAATAGAATGAGTATCTGAAATAGAATGAAAGGCTCTTTACAAAAGATTCATAATAATAATTTAATGAAGATGTACGAATTTCAAATAAGCTTTATAACTTCTATGGAATATAAGCCTTTGTCTTCTGGGTGGTTTATTCTCTGTAAATGTTTCAGACTTCCTTCAATCTTGTTCAATTCTGAGTAAAAATGAACCTAAAAAGTAAAAGTAAAGATTTAGTCAAAAAGTAAACCCACATTCATGAGAACCACAGTAATAACTATGCAGAATGAGTAAAACAGCAGAGCTTTGTTTTTTCTGTAAGAGTGGGAAGATAGATCTGGTATCACTATCTTCTACAATAACCATGATCAATGTCTGCTTGTGATTATAGTATTGAAATGGAGGAAAGCTTACTTGGGCTCTAACAAACTTGTGTAGCTTTGAAAGCAACCCTCTTGCTTCTGGCAGCATAACAACAACTGTAAAGTGAGCATCTAGTAGGAGGCACAACCAGTCCATAATCTGAAAATAAAGTCAAAATACACAATCACCATGAATGAACATTTCAGTATTCAGCCATTAAAATGCAAGCCAGTCTACTACCTACAGAATTTTGTTGTGTACCTACTTGTTATTCAGCCTTTTAATTTCAGTGTTCAAATTGAACATTTTAAAGAAGGCAGCATATTTAATTATAACTTTTATTTTTGTTTGCAATCATGGTAAATTTGTGAAGAATTTACCAAATTAGGTGTTTCCATTTCAATCCTGGGCAAGTGACTTTCATTCTTGTCAGTGCAAATACATTTCTAGCACCATTTCCAATGCCCTTTCCCCCATGAAATATAGAAACATTATAGGCTTCCCAGCAATGCAATCTCACTCATAATCACAGCTATTTGATCAGTTCATTGCCACAAATTTAACTAGAAATATGTTGCTATATATTAGTTTTTAATATAGGAAGTACTGAAAACTAGTTAAAAGGGACATCACATTACAGGGCGTTCCCAGTATCATCACATTACAGGATGTTCCCACCATAAATGGCAAACTAAATAAAAACAAAGGCATTATAGGAGTAGAAGCTGTAATGCAGGGGTATCAACTAGCGACCAATGGGCCAGATGCGTTACAGGCCATGCCCACCCCAGCTCCACAAAAAAAATCACATCATGGCATGAGTTTGACACCCATGCTCTAATGCAATCACTACAGTCATCAATGTGCTCATATTGTTTACGGGATGCCACTCTTGATCTACAAGCAAGACTAGATTTTCTGTATTAATGTCTCTTCACTTTTTCACATAACAATATGTTGAAACCTAATTTATCCATCCCGTAGTAGACTCATTAGAACAAACAGGCCTAATCTGAATTTACCTGTCTTGAATTTAGTAATAGGTGGCAAGCAGAGCCAATTAATCATTTTCTTATATATATAGTCTATTATTCCAGTGAGAGCTGGAAGAATTATCTCATTATTTTTCCAGAGGCTCTAAATCTGAGTATGCTCTAAAAAGATTTCTTTGGGCATGTTTAAGAATAACTTGATAGTTTTCGTATGAAATTTTTCTATACCTGTTGTATGGTCAGATGAAATATTCCAGGGAAGTGTGTGGAGGACTCTTTACTACATTGCACATATACGTACTGAAGATACTGGAGGAATAACTAAAAAGAAAACAATAAAATCAGGTGTCGCTGAATACAGCAGAGTTCCCCAACCTTTCCAGCTTTGCAGATCAGCCCGTGGGGAGGGAGGGGGAGGAGTGAAGGAGGGGGGATAGTTCTGTAGAAGTGGCAGGCAAGCGTGTGCACAGCTCCATTTGCACATGCACACACACTTGTCTCTGCTGACGCAAATGGGGATACACACACGCTTGCCCAACACTTCTGTGACCAAGTTCCAAAGGGTTCAAGGCTCAGTAGTGGGCTACAGCCCAGAAGTTGGGGGCCCCTGCCTTACAGTAAAACTTTCTTTTGGGGAGAATACAGTGAACTCTCCTCCCAGACAAAGTGTGATACATACAAAGCAGTCCAGATGTGGGAATTAAATTTGTGTTAATTTTATGATGTTCATGTGGATTACACAAATATTTGTGCATCATTTATATTGACACAATTGAAATGTAACCACCTTTCATCTGCTAGAAGAGAATACAGATAGTTTTTGGCTTACAATAGTTTATTTAGTGACCGTTTTTTACACTTACAATCACTGCAGCGTACCCATGTTCATGTGATCAAAATCCAGACGCTTGGCAATTGACTCATATTTATGATGGTTGGTGTGTCCCAGGGTCATGTGACCACCTTTTGCAACCTTCTGACAGAGTCAATGGGAAAGCCAGATTCACATAACAATGAGGTTACTAACTTAACAACTGTGGGGATTCACTTAACAAGTATGGCAAGAAATCACAACTTGTAAAATGGTGCAAATTCACTTAACAAATGTCTCGCAACAGAAATTTTGGGCTCAATTATGGTTGTAAGTCAAGGACTACCTGTACACGTAGTGCAGGGTTGAACTGTGAGTTCTTGGTGCTCTCCATGCTTGGTGGTTTTCTTGCAGATAATGGATCTGAT